TCCGGGCATGATGCGGGAGCCAGTGAAGGTGTGGATGGCGTCCACAAACTGAGCGTCGTCCGGAGACAGTCTGTCAAACGCCGGCTGACCTTCGAAGTGCGGCCCGGCCGGATCCAGACCTGCGTCACACACACCGCACACTGTCATTGGTCTTTCTTCGTGTTTTCATCAAGACTCTGCTCATCAGACGCTGGTGGAGAATGCGGGCATCTCTCTAGAGACCACAGTTCCTCTGAAGAAAGTTTCAGACTGAATCATGTCAGGATCTTCACTTCTTCATTCCAGTGATGTCAGCCGTTATAAACTGATCAGCGCTCTGAGACTGAGTGACAGTCGTCAAGATGAATGGGAAGCTCAAGCTCTGATAAATGCTGTTTGATCATGTGTTTGGCTGCATCTTACCAGTAATGCGGCCCATTTTCCTCAGTCCTCTGAAATGACTTCCTGCGAATCCGGCCACATGCGCTCCCAGACTGTAGCCAATCAGATGGACATCATCCATGGAGAGCTGCGCCACTTCCTGTCGAGAGAGGAAGTGCTGTCTGGACTCAAACAGTTCACTCTTAGACACTGATGCACATACAGTACAGACCCTTTTAACAAGCTGTGAAAATGATTTCCACAGTTATCGACACGCTAAATCTAGTGAAGTTTTTCATATTTGAATTAATGTACACATTTTAAACACTGCACTGTTATATTATGATTATTATCTTTGACATTAAATCACATGAAACTAGTAAATGCTGCTGCGTGAGTGTTTCTAACAACAGATGAGGGAGTGACGATAAATTTCACATCTTTCTCTCTTCTGACCAGCTTCCCAACGTTCTCATAACGTTCTAGCAAAGGTTCTCTCAAGCTTATGTAAACATTAATAGAATGTTTGTTCAAAGTTATCTGGTCTTTAAAAATGTTCTCAAAATATTAGCGCAAAAACATTATACATCTTTCGTGGACTGTTTTTTTTTCCTGAAATGTTTCGGTTGGATGTTTATCTATCATTTTTTTAAATGTTACTGTTTGTTTCAGAGAACATTCAAAAGTAACATTCCTGTAATGTTTGCAAAATGATAAAACAGAATGTTTCCTTACCGCTCGCATATCCAAAAAAATAAAAAAATTTTGTTCAAAGAACATTCAGAAATAATGTTTTCATAACTTAATGGAAACATTAGCAAACAGTTCTCAGAGCATATTAATGTTAGCTGGGTTAATCAATCTCTCCATATTTTTTTCAAATCATAGAATTGCCATTTTGGATTTCTCTACTTTTGCTATTGGAGCAAATGGCAACACAAAAACTATATTTGTTGTCGTTTGCGTTCACCAGTATACAAGTTTACCCAACTCTGAGGACTTCCGCTTCGGAGAACCCTTAAATAATGTTTCGGTTTTTAGACACCGTGGGTTTGGTTCAGCAAATGTTTCCGCTGAAGATCTTCATTACCTCCAGCCATTTGAGCAGCCTGGCCACGTCCCTCCCCACCTGTCTGCTGTTCTTGGCTGCGATTGGATACGGCTGAAGTGCCAGCTTCCTCCAGTCGCTGATGAGCACGTTGACCCGCCCCAGTCGGACCTTCAGCGCAGAAGCCAGACTGAAGATCCAGGGCTCCATGAGTCCATTCATCTGAGAGCAGCAGGAAGAGCTGACGTCATTCACACACAAACATGCGGCAAAACAAAGCCACTGCTCAAAGTCTTTGCCCGTTTCCTCCGTCTCGAGGAAATTCCTGTCTGCTCTACATGTTTGTTGACACATGAACCGAGTCGTAAAGCAGCGATACGCAGCGTCTAACAGCCAGTGAACACAGACGAGACCGCTGCCTGATGGAGGGATTTTTCAACTCCAAATCTCCTGAGAAGCCTTACATGGCTGTGTTGTGTAAAGCTCTCTATTGTTCTACATCATCAGATCTGATAGAAAGTGGTTTCTGTAGGAGGCTAGGTGTGGTCTGACTGAGCTCTGATCTTCTGTGTTGTGTTGATCAGGGTTTCTCTCACCGTCCAGCCGTGTATAATCAGCACCAGCGGGTCGCTTCGGTTGTAGGCGCATCTGTGGAGGGTTTTGGACCTGAATGGGACCACGGCGCAGGTCTCCTCAAACACGCTCCCCTCGTGATACAGATGGAAGCTGGACTTCAGCACCGTCTTTACTGGAGTCTCTGCTAAAATTAAACCCAGATGTGTAATTTCAGAGCATGAAACCCCGTCCCATCACGCCGTCCTGCGGCTTTCAGGACTTTCTGTGGCAAACATTCAAAGAGCTTCTCTGAGAACATGCAATTATACAGTGAAGTTTGCCAAGTAAGTCTAAAATAAGAGCTCCAGCATATGCTTTCAGCCGGTCGGTGGTTCAGGGAACATGTTCTTACCTGTGAAGTTTGCATCTCCTCTCGCAGGCGCTGCGACAGCACTGATGAGGAGCAAAGCGCTCAGGACTCTCATGATCATCTGAAGGGTTCAGGAGTTTCTCCGGTGGATCCACGTCTGCTCTGCTGCTCGAGGAAGAGAGTCTGACTGAAGAGCTGCTGGAGCAAGAGAGAGACGGGGCGGAGCCTGAGTGACTTTCTGCTCTGATTGGCTGCTGGTTCTGGCACCATTCGAAGAGGGAAAGTACAGTGGGTTAATTGGAAAGACAAAACCTGCCACTAAACGTTCAGGGCCCGTATTCACAAAACATTTTATCTTACCTCTAAGAGTTCTCCTAAATAGCAGTAAAAGTTTTTAGCGAAGAGTTTTCTCTTAAAACCTATTCACAAAGCTGCTGAGACAAACTTTTACTAAGGAATAGAGAGAAGTCTTAAGCTCAGAGTAAGGGGGCGGGGTTTACCTCGTTGCTATGGATGATGTCAGCATGCTTATAAAGTGTGCAAACAGTGATTGGCTGATAGTCTCTCAGAGATTTATTCATAGAAATATTTTGGTAAAGATAAAGGTTTAAAAATAAAAACGTTGCCACATTCAAATAAAGATTTTAAAATGCAGGCTAAGTGTCACTAATTAAACAAGTATGTGTTCAGCTAATTGTCAGCCTCTTACATGTATGCTTCTCATAATTAGTGAATATGCATATAAACAGCCTTTTAATAAACAGAGTAGAATAATCATGGCTGATAGTAAGACATGCAAACATATAAGAAAACCAAACTGGACACAAGCACAGCTGTTACTTCTTGCCCAACTGGTTAATGAAAAGAAAGACATAATCAAAGGAAAATTTGGAGTTGGGATAACCTTCAAAACCAAAGGTGATACCTTTATAAAAGCTCATTATAATCAAATATTTCTAAAATGTTTACGTTCCAAGGCAGATTGCAACAGCCATTTTAGAAATAGTTTGTGGCTTGGTCTTAGTGACTTAGGACTCCTCTTCACTACTCCTAATGTTTCACAGATTTAGGAGCTAGTTTTAGCGCTAAAATGCTTTGTGAAATACTTTTAGATCAAACATTTAGGAGTCCTAAATTTAGGACTGACATGCCTGATTTTCTCCTAAATCGGCGAGTTACGAGCTTCTTTTAGCCTTAAGATGTTTTGTGAATACGGGCCCAGAAGTTTTGATTGATCTCCGTTAGATGAGCAAATGCTTCTCCTGCATGAGATCTCCTTCAGAAGAATAACGTCTCCAATGTGAGAGGAAGTGCCGAGAGCTCATTTCACTCTGATCAGGGTCTGAATGAGCGTCTGTTAATGCTGATTCCTTGTTTTACTGGAAATAGATCATAACTGTCGCCTGAGATCAAGCCAGCGCTTGTCTCAACACACTTCCAGTAAGTTGAAAGTGAAAGCAACATTTAACTTTATCACACTTACTGAAGTAATTTGACACGGAGCAAGAAATTCTATTCCTTGAAAAATTAAAATGAATTAAAATAACATTTTTACTAAAAGTAACACTAAACTGTCATGCACTGCTTTAAAACAAAGTAAAAAAAAAAAATAAATTGTTTAAATATTTTCAGTTTTAAAACCACAGGCAGTGGCATTCTCAGATGGGTGGCATAAAGAGGCACAAACTGCCAGTGAAATATCATTGGTCGTCAACACTGACTGGCCATCACCACGTCAGAGGAGGGACCTTCAAGAAAGCACAATTAAATACAGCACATTTGTCGACAAGTCCTTCTTGGTTGTTGTTTTTACCATGTTAAATGTCAAACTAGCTGTACACCATGTAGACCTGTGTAATCTGAACTGAACAGGGAAAGTTAACATTACACAAAGTCCTGTGTCATGTCTTTAATGCATGTGTTAAATGATATAGAAATGAAAATAAAAGACTAAAATAAAAACCAAAACTAACGAACACACTAAAATAATTCATCATTAAAAAAGCTAGACAATAATTAAACAGACATACAAAACTAAAACTAAATGAAAAAGCCATATAATAACCTGTAATAATGGTAACATGACATTTCTTCAGTGTTGATGGATATGAATGTCTTCATCTGTCATTCACCCTCAGTAGACAGCAGCAGCTTTGTCCAGACATGAACAGAATCTCCCCATGCAAACATCTAATGCGTGTTTATAAGCAAGACAACTCTGCCGTAAAAGTTCAGCAAAAGTTCAGTTTATTTCAGCAAAAAACACAAATATACAGTTGAAGTTGGAGGATTTCATTACAAAAGATCTACTTTTTACGAAAGAAATTTAAAAACAAAAAGTCAATAACAGAAGCCTGATCTACAAACACGTGAACAAAAATAGAAACATAAATATCATAGACAATATATGAATGACAACAAGGTGAAATAAAACTTAAATTTAACATGAAAACTCAACAATGGTGATCTAGGGGAAAATCTTTTGCAGCTCTTCGTGACAAACGCTAATCTCTGCCATGAACCATTAGATTCACGTGTGTGACGTGACGTTGTGCTCAGGCAAGCATGTTTGTCAGGTGGCTTCATGATCAATGTCATCAGTCAGTGTGCTTTAATCTGGACAGAATTCCTGACAGGGCGATCCTGATGCGTTTCCATTACTTTAAAGGTATAAACAGCCATTGAATCGATTGTTCTGGATCCAGTATAATATTAACCCATCAGCAAAATACAGTCAGATGTTATGTGCAGTGGAAGATTATGGGACAGACGTGAAGCTTGTATTTAGTTAAAGCACTTACATGAATCAATCAGTTGAAATCCGTTAATTATTTGAGTTGTGAAGTGTCTAAATGAGGTGGATGAAGGTCGCTGATGTCACTGATGAGTTTACTCCTGTAAACGGTGTATGAAAATGAGTTTACCCGCTTTACTTGGTCACAACAGGAATTCTACTGGTCTTGGGTTTCTAGCTCATGTTGATCATCTCGTATTTGTCCTTTAGGCTGCTGTCCTCATCTTCCTCCTCATCCTCCTCTTCCTCAGGTTCTTTGTGAGATTTGTCGTTGTGGTTGGAGTGATGAAGCTCAATCAACAGAAAGTAGATCACAGCACCGGCGACGCCCCCTACCAACGGCCCGGCAACAGGGATCCACCACCAGTAATCTGCAGTGCTGCACGCACACACACACACACACAGCAATATATCACCAAATGATCATAATAGATCACAGAATTATCATAATATAACACCGAATCATTATAATATATCACTGAATCATCATACTATATCACCAATTCATCACAATATCACTAAAATCATCATAGCACAGAAGCATCACAATATATCACAGAATCGTCACAATATATCACTGAATTATCATAATATAACACTTTTAGTTTCAATCTTTCTGAAAATCCTGTTTCAAATTCTGCCTTGTCTGTAAATGAATCTGCAGTAAAATGAATTGAACAAAGGACCAAGTTCTTACTGATGTGGTATGGAACATAAGTAAAAATAAAGTTCATCCAGTCTTTCCTAATGTTGAGACCAGAAGGAAGGCGATGCAAAAACTTTTTCCACAGCTCGGCACTGAACAGCGTCTTTTTGTCTTCGGAGCATCTTTATCATTCGGTTTCTGTGTAAACCTGCGTTTGCCTCTCATTATTTACACTACATGCGTGAATCGGTGGGCGGGGCTAAACAGGCAGTGCTGTAGAATCGGTGGGCGGGGCCAAACGGGCAGTGCTGTAGAAATCTGTGGGCGGGGCTAAACAGGCAGTGCTGTAGAATCGGTGGGCGGGGCCAAACGGGCAGTGCTGTAGAAATCTGTGGGCGGGGCTAAACAGGCAGTGCTGTAGAATCGGTGGGCGGGGCCAAACGGGCAGTGCTGTAGAAATCTGTGGGCGGGGCTAAACAGGCAGTGCTGTAGAACAAACGGGCAGTGATTTAGAAGCAGGCATTGATGATCTTCTGTGGAGGCGGGGTTTATCCACACTATTACGTCACAGAGCTGCACATTACACAACCTGTCGTTTTGACAAATTTGGCTTCAATATAAGCTGTTTTAGACTAACGAGAAAGCTTTGAGTTCTGAAACTTACAGGATGTTTTTATAGTACAATTACCTCTTTTATATATATATATATATGGGTATTTTGATTTCTCAGTTCAAGACCCCTTTAAATTATATAAGTGAAAGTGAAGTGACGTATGGCCAAGTATGGTGACCCGTACTCAGAATTTGTGCTCTGCATTTAACCCATCCAAGTGCACACACACAGTAGTGAACGGTTCACACCGTGAACACACACCCGGAGCACTGGGCAGCCATATTGCTGCAGCGCCCGGGGAGCAGTTGGGGGTTCGGTTCTTGCTCAAGGGTCTCACCTAAGTCGTGGTATTGAGGGTGGAAGAGAGCACTGGTTATTCACTCCACCCATCTACAATCCCTGCCGGACCTGAGACTCGAACCTTTGAGTTACAAGTCCAACTCTCTAACCATTAGGCCACGACTGGATCATCATAATTTATCACCAAATGATCATAACACAGAATCATTATAATACATCACCGAATCATCATATTTTACCAAATCATCACATCACTGAATCATTGCCAAACCATCACAATACATCACTAAAATCATCATAGTATATCACAGAATCATCACAATATACAGTATAACCAAATCGTCACAATATATCACCAAGTCACCACAATACATCACTGAATCGTCACAATATATCACCAAATCATCATAATATATAACCAAATCATTATATCACCAAAGTATCATAAAATATCACTGAACGATTACAATATATCACAGAATAATCATAATAAAACACAGAATAATTATAATATATCACCAAATTATAATTTATCACTGAACCATTGAAATATATCACTAAATCATCACAAGATATCACTAAATCGTCACAATATATCGCAGAAACGTTACAATATATCACAGAATCGTCACAATATATCACCAAATCATCACAAGATATCACTAAATCGTCACAATATATCGCAGAAACGTTACAATATATCACAGAATCGTCACAATATATCACCAAACCATCACAATATATCACTAAAAATCATCACAATATATCACTGAATCGTCACAATATATCACCAAATCATCACAAGATATCACTAAATCGTCACAATATATCGCAGAAACGTGACAATATATCACAGAATCGTCACAATATATCACCAAACCATCACAATATATCACTAAAAATCATCACAATATATCACTGAATCGTCACAATATATCACCAAATCATCACAAGATATCACTAAATCGTCACAATATATCGCAGAAACGTGACAATATATCACAGAATCGTCATAATAAAACACTGAATCATTATAATATATCACCAAATCAAAATATATCACTGAACCATCATATCTCAGAATCATAATATAACACTGAATCATTATATCACCAAATCATCATATATCTCCAAATCATCATAATATATCATTGAACCTTCATAATATATCACCAAATCATCACAATACATCACCAAATCATCACAATACATCACCAAGTCATACAACTGAGATATATAACAGAATCATCATATCACCAAATCATTATAATATATCACCAAATCATCATAATATAATGCCGAATCATTATATCACCAAATCATATAACTGACATTCATTACAGAATCATTATAATATCACCAAGTCATGATAAATATAATACTGAATCATTATAATCACCAAATCATATCACCGAATCACAATATATCACCAAATTATCATAACACTGAATCATTATAATACATCACCAAATAATCCTAATACTGTATTTCACCAAATCATCATATCACTGATTCATCGCCAAACCATTACAATATCACTAAAATCATCATATTTACCACACAATCATCACAATACATCAATTAATATATCACTGAATCAATCAAATATGATTGTGCAAGGAGGTTCATTCATTTGATGAACCCGCTGTGAAGACCAGGGTTATTATCGTAACTAAAACTAAAACCATAAAAAAGAAAAACTTTGTCACTTGAAGTAAAAAGATTTATCTATCTATCTATCTATCTATCCATCGATATATATATATATATATATATATATATATACAGTATATACATATATATACGCACCTGTATACATATACAGTATAGTAACTGCCCACTTCCCTGCTCTAGAGTACTGCTCCTCTGGGATTAAAGTCAGGGGAAATCTTGGTTGGAGAGAATCATGACTTCCTCTGGTGCTAACCTCATGTGTAGAGTACGGGTTGGGAAACTATTGTTTTAAGCTCAACCAGAAAGACTCCTCCTTACCCTCCTCTACAATAATGATCATCCTAATACCTACTTTTCTGAGACATTCTCCATTGCTTATGCTACACTGCTTATCAGTTGGATTTCGGTGACGCATGCCAATATCATCGTTGGATAACTTGAATCAACTGATAGATAATTGTTGGAGTGCTACAAGGATAAAGTAATTGCAACGGACCCTACTATAGACATCTTAGAATCTTCAAGCAAAGCTAATTTTGGAGCTCATTCTGGAAAGGAAACTTCTGGTTTGTTTGCTCATCTCTTATTTAACAACTCATCATCTTCATCTTCACCAATGGACAATGAACTCCAAGGATAAAGCAATACTTAATGGACAATGAACAGATAAGCTCTTTTATTTAGTAATTCTTTACTCATTCAGATAGCAAAGGAAAACATACATATAACTGACTTTATGTGCTTACTTTTTGTGTCTTTATGATGGGTTTTTGTGTGACACTTCTTAAATAAACACTTTTGAAACTATTTCTGTGTTTAGCCTCATGGTTTGTGTGGCTCTGGGTCTGGTTAAACCAAAAATAGTCAGTGGAGTCCTCCTTTATGAATTTATTTGTAATTTGCTCTTCTGGGAGTGTTCAGCGGTACCGTTATAATATATATATATATATATTAGGGGTGGGCGACATGGCAAAAATATGTCACAAATTGTTTTTTCAGGAAAATCATGATTTTATTACGATTCTTTTGTTGGTTTTACTATTTTGCAACTTGTCTGAGCAGTACAGCCAAACTAATTTCCCTATTTAAAAAACAAAGCCTTACAAAGTAACACAATATAAAATTTAAAAAAAGAATGGCAGATATGTTGGCCAAAGTGGGTGAAGATAAAAAAATCTTTATCATTATTTTATGTTATTAAAAAATATGAACAAAGATACACATTACAAATACTAGGGGTGCTCCGATTGATCGGCTACCGATCACTATCGGCCGATAATCACGTTGGGATGATGACAGGAATTGTCACTTGCACAATCGAGGCAGTGTCACATCGTCACTAAAGTTGATAAATTGCATTTCAGCGCTCGGGCGCTCTCCTGGAGACCGTGCGCTCATGCACAGTCGCAGCGCACACACATAATGCCAAGTTCACATTACTCCATTTGCAGTGCATAGGCCTACGTGGTGTGTATTTTTTCCGTGCTTATGTTAACGGATTAAAGCGTTCACCGCACACGGTTGCGGTCCAGCAGTGCGTTCAGGAGCGGTGCGTCTGCAGCAGTGCAGAAATGGTCCGAGTCTATTTTTGCTGCGCTGCAAGCCTGAATTAAAGTAACAGCGCATCATTTGCAGTAAATATGAACATGGATTGACACGAAAATGTAGTAATTACACCATAAATGCATATTATTAAAGTCTACGATAAAAAGAAAGCTTTAAAATGATCGGTATCGGTGATCGGTGTCGGCAGATACTGCTTTCTGTGATCGGCCTCAAAAATCCTGATCGGAGCACCCCTAACCCCTAATACACATAATATACAAATAAAACAAACAGTGCTTTATTTTTCAGGTACAGTAGGTGTATTTAGCAGGAGCATTCAAGAAATTTAATGAACAAATATAAAAATAAAACACTATATACACTTCACTGTATAAATTATGCATTGATTCTTATTAAAGCAACTGTATTAAAGCTCTTCGGTCAAGAGTAGTGAGTGATTTTTCTGTTTTGTTGTTTTATTAACATTAAAGGGATAGTTCACCCAAAAACGAACATTCTGTCATCATTTACTCACTCTCAAGCCGTTTTAAACCTCAATGAGTTTCTTTCTTCTCTTGAACATAAAAGTTATTTTGAAGAA